AACAGAATAGACCAACTATATTCTTGTCTTCGATTTAAGTGTACCAACCACACAAAAGGGCCAATGAAACAATCATGTGGACTCTTTCTTTGAAGCTAAGACAACATACAGATGGATTTCCTGGGAGGCAAAGTAAAGTACACCTAATATCTAACACTGCCGATTGACAGTAGGTATATCCATATCACAACAACCTCATTTTTGTCTAACTAAATGTTTACCCTTAAAGGTATAAACTGTTTTATATGACAGTGAAAGAAAATGAAATTGGGTGGAATCATTCGAGGTCCTGAGCAATGTGTGTGCGTTGATGAATCTTTTGGGAAAATACGGCAAGACCAGGAGAAATCAGATTTGTGACATCGAAAAAAAAAGTTTGATTCAGCGACCAGGTTGTGATTGTTGACATGAGAATCTCACTAGTGAGCAATGACAGACATGTTTAATTGTATAAGCATGCCATTACAACCCAATCTTCCCACTTGATATGTCTTTTACTATTCTCCCAAGAACCTGGGAGCGACAATTCCTGACATGAGACTCAGAGCAGTACCTAGCAACTCCAGCTTGCCGCTTGCTCTTCCAGGCTTCCATCTTGGATAGCAGTCACCAATGTCTCAGGGCACAGTCTATGGGCTGTGGTTGCCCACACCTCTTGTCCATGGAGGTTGGTATCATGCACATATCAGTCTCACCACGGCACCCCTTGTTCTGGTTTATTATCTTTCCATTGCAACATCATACCACATGGCGTTCGTACTTGATACAATCATGGTTCTGGTCGTATGTTGGCAATTTCTGCTGGATTCCAGATTTAGCAGTTGGGTTTTGGAAGTAAATCTTTGCCCAATGTCAGATTCACTAGCACATTACATTCATGCCAGTCATGAGCATTTTTAATCCTCTTATGTTTGTTGACAAATACATCATGTTCTCCTTGGAGTATCAACAGGCAATGACTGGGAGGTGTTAGTTGCATTTGCCTGCCAAATAGCAGCTCGATGTTGGTTCCACTATGGGATGAAGTGTACGTGTTCAGAATGGGTGTACATGTTTGTTCCTAATTATACCACTCAGTCTGCTGCCTGATGGTCTGCCGGTATAAACATACATTTTCTGATATGGTCTGTGGTCCCTTTCATTGTCTTGGTGATACCACAGAATGTAACCTTGTGTTAGGCCTATGGCCACCAGAGCTGTGCTGTCTGTAATAAAAGCATTTGAGGTGACAATAGTGAGTTTTTGTATCGACATTTCAGCATAGTGCCATCTCTGAAGCATTGTAAGTGGTGTGTGTGGCAATGTTTGGTTGAATTGTTGTGTGCCAATTCTCTGGTACATACATTTCAGTCTACAAAGTGCAAAGATGCTTGCCTTCCATTGTTATCTATTTTTAAGTGTAGATTATGTTGACTTTTCAGTTGTGAATATATAATTTGGACAGCGGTAAAGTCGTGTGTTACCAATATATCCTTTGATACATTCACATGCTGAACAGTGGCTCACATTGTGAGTGAATGGTTTTGACACTCTCATCTGCCGTCTGTAATTTGGTTAGACATTCGTAAATCCAATCTCAACACTGTCTCGTATGTGTTCTTGGATATACGAAATTCTGTGCCTCTTGAGCTTTTGGATGAGACATTTCATGTGTTTGAGCCACTTGTACTGGCCTTTACTTTCAACTTGGGCAGTTCCAATGTCATCTAGTGCCACATGCCTTGCACACAGCATTAAAAGCTCATTGTTCTCTAGATCCAGGCCACACTGGGGCCACATTTGCTCGGCAACACTGTTTACATTGCTTACCACACCTGGATATAATGACATTTTTTTATTTGTTCATGGAACATGGGTGCCAGTGGCTAGGCCAACAATTATTGTCCATCTCTAATTGCCCAGAGGGCAGTTGAGAGTCAATCACATTGCTGTGAGTCTGGAGTCACATGCAGGCCAGGCCAGAAAGCAGAGATTGGGGATAAAATGGTCTTTCTCAGGATGGCAGCCAGTGACAAGTGGTGTTCCTCAAGGTTCAGTGTTGGGACCACAACTTTTCACTTTATACATGAATGATCTAGATGAAGGAACTGAGGGCATTCTGGCTAAGTTTGCAGATGGTACAAATACAGGTTGAGGGACAGGTAGTGTTTAGGAGGTGGGGAGGCTGCAGAAGGATTTGGACAGGTTAGGAGAGTGGGCAAAAAAGTAGCAGATGGAATACAACGTGGGAAATTGTGAGGTCATGCACTTTGGTAAGAAGAATAAAAGCATGGACTATTTTCTAAATGGGGAGAAAATTCAGAAATCTGAAGTGCAAAGAGACTTGGGAGTTCTAGTCCAGGATTCTCTCAAGGTAAACTTGCAAGTTGAGTGAGTGGTCAGGAAGGCAAATGCAATGTTGACATTTATTTTGAGAGGACTTGAATATAAAAGCAGGGATAAGGCTCTGGTCAGGCCACATTTGGAGTATTTTGTGTAGTTTTGGGCCCCATATCTCAGGAAGGATGTACTGGCCCTGGAGCGGGTTCAAAGGAGGTTCATGAGAATGGTCCCAGGAATGAAAAGCTTAACATATGAGGAACGTTTGAAGACTCTGGGACTATACTCATTGGAGTTTAGAAGGACGAGGGGGGATCTAATTGAAACTTACAGTA